CAAAGCCAGGCAGGGCCTCACCTGTCTGTGCCTTCAGCCCTGTGTAAGCTGAGAAGACCAAGAACTGCCTGGGCCTTCTAACCAACCCAGCTCCAGGTTACCCGAGAAACTCTTGTTTCAAAAGAGGAAGGTGGAGACTGACAGAATAGGACATTCAATGTTGTCCTCTCGCCTGCACACGCACATACGTGTGTGTGTGTATACTACATACATATACATCACACTCACACAAAAAGGAACACTAAATAAAGTAAAATAAGAATGAAGTTATCAAGACTATAGGGAAGTGGTCCAGTTCCCACTTGGAAGACAGGACAAAAACCCTGGCCAGGCCAAGCCTGCTGCGCTTGCAGACTTCAGGCTGCAGGCCATGCCACACCCCATTTCCCTACTTGCTCAGTTTAGGCTGCACATTCACCAAAAGCTAGTTTTTCTTCCTCATTCTTGATGGAAAGCCTTCAGATGTCTGCTGGTGCAAGGAGGCGGCCCTGTGCTCCCCCACTAGTCAGCTCTTCCTGAAGCTTGGAAACCTGATGGCTCAGTCTTTGCCAAGGACTTCCATGATACCTGCTGGCCTGGGAATTTTTTTCTTGGTGGAATCTAGGAGGGGCTAGGCAGAGAGGAAAGCAACAGCAACCTGCCAGGAAAGTGATTACACAATCCAGAAGTTCGGGTCCAATATAAACACTGCGTCTTTAGGAGGCAGGCGATCTCTCCAAGGCTGGCGAGGGAGGCCATGGGTCAGGTCACACCTGTTGGGATGCTGTGCCCTTGGGAGATCATGTGCTGCTGCTTATCTCTGTCTCTTCAGCGGGTTTCAGAGCAGGCCTTTCATCCTGGTTGTCTCATCACAAAATACCTCTAGGGCAGGAAATGGCTCTGTCAATTCCAGAACACCCGTGTGCCCCAGACTAGCCCCTGGGCCTTTAGAATGTTTACCCCACACTGGGGAAACGCAGTTCTACTTTGAGTAAGCTACAATTCAACACTTAAACTTCAGCCCTTCCCTCCCCTTTTTTAAGGAAAAGTCTGTTTTCACATGAACCTGAAAAAGACTTTGATTTGAACCAAGCAATTTCCTTAGTAAATTGTGAAATATATAATCCAAGTGGCGCCATGTTGCCCTGGCCTCGGCTCTGCCTCTCTGCTGTTTCAGTAGCTCTGAGGGTCGCCTCCTTTGCCATCCTCAGGCATGGCCAGCAGCTTGGAAACTGCTCCTGCATTCAACTCCTCTCATGGTTGCCCTGACCTGATTTGAGCCTTTTCTGGCTCTTCCTTGAACCAAGGCAGAGGCCTCCTTGCTGGCCCACACCAGCCCTGGATACTCCTCCCCTTGACACCCAAATCTGATCACGTCTCTCTCCAGATCACGTGTTAGCAGGGTTATATCTGAACTACTGTTTGTACTTAAAGCCTGGCTGCCTGCTCCCGCCTTCTCTCCCTGCCCAACACCCTTGGATCCCCAATGGTGAAAACACTCCACGAATGGGCCTCCTGCAGTTCCTGGCCACCCTAGAAGTCAGGCTAACTGCCACCTCTCCTCCCTGGCCCCACAGACAATCTCTCTGGACACTTTGGGTTGGGAACTCCACACTGAAAATGCCCCACTGTTCTCAGGTGACTAGAATTCTGGTCTCCTAGGGCTGGGGACATTAGCCCTTGTTCACTCTCTTTTAGTCTGTTATGTGTCAAAATGGTAGGGGGTGTTGATCTTGCTATAATAAGTGCTTGCATTTAACACTTTTTTCCCCTCACTGCTCACAGATGAGTACCCTGTGTTGCATGTAGCAGCCCCCAGCAATCAAAGGCTGAAGACTGATGGCAGCCAACAGAACAAAAGCAGACATCAAGTTGTCATCACGCAGCAGAAAAGAATGTGTTCCCACCTGCTGACTGAGGCTTCTTTGGGCTGCTTGTCCAGAGGGAATGGGAACACACCCCTGTGGGAACAGCATCATCAGCCCCCACTCTGGTGACACAGGCGAACTGGGAGTATTGGGAGGGGAGGTGGGGAGGGGTGAAGTTGAGGGGAGCAGGCGTAGGGGACAGGGCCTGGAAGGCAGCACTGGCAGGAAACACACTTTGTTCATCTCTCAGAATCAGGACAGAAAACACCCACAGGACTTCCAACTTCAAAGCACCTGACCAGCTTCAGAGGAACGCAGCCTGTTGGCAGAAGCCCACAGCTCCTTCCTGGTTCCTCCAGCCTCAGTGTTTGTGGGCAGACAATATGAGCCAAACTTAAACTGTCTTTCTAGACGTCTAGCGGTGGATACTCAAGCACCCAGAGGGAATCCTACAGCAGACTTGGGCAAGTGTACAACTTGAGGAAGAAAAAACTGCCCAGGACAGAAGCCTACCCCCCAGCCAGCGATACACAGTGGCAGAGCTAGGGACTCCGGGCTCAAAGGCAACTGGATGCCCTTGTAGGTGAAGACAGGAAGCTGCAGGAAGCAGGAGAGAAGCCACCAGCTCTTGGGAGGCCAGGGGAAATGCCTAGGACATGAAATAGCTGGAGAGCCGAGGGCTATCAGGGTAGGACACACACGTCAGGGGGCAAACCGTACAGACGTTCCTACAGTCCACCAGACATCCGAGGTGGGAAAATTGCTCAGTTTTCCCCTGTGCACTCCAAAAACAAGAAAATTCAACGAGGGACTTATTTTCTGACAGTTACACTGCAGATAAAACTCACTCTACACCTTCTCAAATCAGCACTCTCTACAAGAGACCTGAGTCTGGAACTCCCCTTTCCAGGGCCTCATAAAACAGTGATTTATTGACCTTCAGAGACACAACTTTATTGTTATCATTTTCCTGGTGTAGGAATAACTGCCGGGTAGATAATAAAAAGGCAAACTCACGTCCCTATGGAAGCGGAGAATGATCCTGTCACAGACAGTCTAGGAGGCCAAAAGGAAGGGAGAGGAGAAGTATCTTAAGTCCTATAAACCCAAGATCTGGAAGCTTGTGAGTGTGTGTCCATGTTCTCAAACAAAAGCTAATCCATACCCAGGTCTCGCAGCTGAAATGAGAGGGTGTGGCATGGAGCACAAACGTAGCCGCACCCTAGGGGATTTCCTTGGAGGGGTCCCCCATAGGCTTTTCCAGGGCCTACTTGCTCATTAGTCTGCTTTACCACCTCAGTAAGGGCCATGTCTGAGTTATCTCAAAACTATAAAAGTTTAGTACCTCATCTGTTTGGCACGTTTCCTGAACTCAGGGCCTTGTGCTAATCTGTAAGGTCATAAACACTGGTGGTTTCTCATTGGCAAGATCCCTTTATGTCTAAACCACACGCACCGTCCCCTGACCTAGAAAGCTTTCGTCCTCACCCACCTCTTGGATCGTTTCTTCTCTGAAGCTTGCTTTCCCTGTCCTTCAAAGACTACTTGAGAAAACTCTTCTTCCCAAAGCAGCTGCCTCCCTTCTCCCGCACCACACCTTTTACCCCATACTTCTTTACCACCACCACAGTCTCCCACTGTCTTTGCCCTCTGGCTCTAACCTGCACAGATCCAATTATGCATTTGCCCTGTTTCCAAACAGCATGCTTTGCACTCTGGAAATGTGCATTGATGGTAACAGCTCTGAAGGCTTCGGTAACCTGATGTATGTATGAATGCACAGTTATCTCAATGACAACTGAATAGCCAAACTATCAACATAGGAACTTAAAACTTTTTAAAGGCATATTTTCCTTAGCTCTGAAACCAAATTCAGTTGCAATTACAGGCAGACAGATATAAGACAGCAGCAGGGACTTCTGCTGGGGAGGCTGGATACAAACAGGGCACCCAAGAGCACCCAGGGGCACCTGAGTGGAAATGGTTGATGCAGAAGTCTATGTATGAGCCAAATGCATACAATTAATGCTCAGTGTGAATCTTCATTGTTGTAGTGCCATGATAACTTGAATTTTAGTAGCACATATTGCCAAGAGACTTATTAGGAAACAATAAAATATCCTCTTGGGCAGTGAAATGGCTCATCAGGCAAACATACCTGCCACTAGGCTTGCTGATCTGAGTGAGCTCCCTCTGCGGACCCACCAGGTGGAAGGACAGAGCTGATTCCCAGGTGGCTTATCTTCTGACCCAGTGGTGCTCAACCTTCCCAATACTGCTACCCTTTAATACAATTCCTTATTTTGTGCTGACCCCAACCATAAAATTATTTTCATTGCTACTTCATAATTATAATTTTTCTGCTGTTTTGAATCATAATGTAAATATTTGATATGTGGGATATCTAATGTGCAGGACATCAGATATGCAACCCCTGCAAAAGGGTCATTCGACCCACAAAGGGGTTGAGGCCCACAAGCTGAGAACTGCTCCCTGTGAGTCTGACCTCTAACCCATACCTCACAAATAGTTTTTTTTTAATGTTTTGTGTTACAAATAAAAATTGTATGTAATTAAAACGGCTTAAGAAAAGCAGAAGGGACGCCGGGCGGTGGTGGCGCACGCCTTTAATCCCAGCACTCGGGAGGCAGAGCCAGGCGGATCTCTGCAAGTTCGAGGCCAGCCTGGGCTACAGAGTGAGTTCCAGGAAAGGTGCAAAACTACACAGAGAAACCCTGTCTCAAAAAACCAAAAAAAAAAAAAAAAAAAAAAGAAAAGCAGAAGGGAAATAGACATTAGAGAGGATGATCTGAGAGATCAACTTATACCACATATGTTCGGCCCATTGTGCCCACAAATTTTGCACACAATTCAAGCAACTGCTGATCAAAGACACAATTTAAAACCTGTCACCATGCTGAACATGAAGCAACTTTTATGTTATTATTCACTAAGTAAGACAGCAGAGCAAGCAACCCATGCAGCATGCACACTCGTCCGGCGATGAGAAAAGCGTCTGAGGTTGGGGATGTAGCTCAAGCGGTGGAATGCTGGTTTTTCACATACTGGGCTCTGGGTTCCATCCCCAGCACAGTCAAGAACACGTCCAGCACACGCATGCATGCATGCATGCATGCATACAAACATACATACAAAATATGAGAGGTGCCGGCTCGTTCCAAACGCTCTGCTATTTTGTTGCTGGAATCAAATGTGTGTGCTTTTTCTCTCTTTTCCTTTTCACTGTGTGGTCAGGCAGGCGGGTTTTTCCTAGGCAGCTGGCTGTTCTCTGAAGACCCAGTTTTTTAGTTCAAATGAGACAGCTCTGTCTGACCTGTTGAACACTTCATTAAGCAACAATTGAAGTGCTTAAAGCAATCAATTCCATTAGGTCTTTGTGCCTTCGACCTCAGCCACGTGAAGAGACCCATTCTGTTGGGAACCTTTACTAAAGTTATGCTCCAACCTCGAACACATTTGCACCGTTTCTGTTCTGATTCAGCTAAGCGGGCTTCTTCCTCTCTCCACCCCAAACACAGCTAGGTCTCTCAGGGCAGTGACATTCACAGAAGCCTAAGACTGTTTTAACAGGAGAAAGAGAATCTAAAACTGTTGAGCCAAGAAACCTCACTGACCTTTTCCCTTCCCTCAGAGGCACTCCCAAAAGCACTAGACATTTCCAGTGAAGCGTTTGATGTACAGGTTCCGCTGCTCTGAACAACTGGGTCCACCAGGATAGAAAAGAACATTTGGCTGCACGATTTGGATGGCTACCACACTGAATGATGTGGTAAAGAAATCACTCCTGGGAACACCAATAGAACCCCTAAGTTACCAACAGCCCAAGCTTTTTATCACACACTAGCGGCTCCTTAGTGTAGGGGCAGAGGATGGACCCTGAGGGGGTTCAGGGACCTGGGAGCGCTTCATGAGTGGAAATTTGGCTGTGTGGAGGGGATTCTCCACAACTAACTTTCGCCTCCTCCTCTAGACTGCTGATGGTGCCTGAATAGCCCCAGAAAGACCCTAGCCCCTGAGTACTGTGTACTCCCTGTCACCTCTTATTTCCATCACCATGTCCCAGACCCATCACAGGAAGGCTGCGAGGCTTGTTCCTGGCACCAATAATGGCTCGAGGCGCACTATTACCCTAGTTTCTCGCATTACATGGACATATTTCATCCTAACATGGTCAAAGGTTTCTAAGCACAAGCAATTCCTGCAGGTCCACAAGCTGTTGTACAGAGGGAGGAAAAGGAAGACACGAGAAGGAAAGTGTATCACCTTTGCCGAAGAAACTTCCAAATTCTACCGTTCTGCACACTCAGGACATCCCTCCTACACCTCTCCACCCTCGCTGGGGAGATGGAAGGAAAACTAAGATAGGGGAAGGTGTGAAGGCCAAGTCAGGGACTCTGCTCTCCCAGGGACTCACACGAATTGAAAGCACACCCCCCAGGGGAGCAGTCTTTAGGAAGGGATCACTAACAAGGTCTGTGGATACGATCTCACTGAGTGTCACAGATCTGGGTTAGCTACAGGCGGAGGTGCCTACTAGGTGCACCCTAGTAGGTGAGAACCAAGGTACCACCAGAGCTCCGCGCTCCGCAGATCCCCTGTCTGGGTGTCGGGGTTCCGCAAGCCTCCTCCTTCCAAGCCCCAGAATCCCTCCAGTTGTCTTTCCCTCGCTCCACGTTCCGGCGGGGGTCCCCGCACCTGTCCCCACCCACCCGACCCCCTAGTCTCGGCTAGCCAGGAGAACTGAACCTCGAGGGGCGGCGGGAGATGGCGGTGCGAGTCCTTACCTGCAGCGGGACGAGCAGCACGCAGATCGCCAGCAGCAGCGCGGATAGCGGGCGGCGCCGCCGGGCGCGCGGGGCCATGGCGCGGTGCGGGCCGGCTGGGCGCGCGGCCTCTGTGGCCCCGCGGGCGCCACCGCCCTCCGCCCGCCCGGCCCCGCCCCGCGCGCCCGGCCCCGCCCCTCCCGGCCGGCCCCGCCCCGCCCCTGCCCCCGCCCCGCCGCCCGCGTCCGCCAGGGGGTGCAGGAGCGTGGGCTGCAGGGGCGCAGGGCGCGGATGGCTTTGACCTTCCACGCGCGCTCCGGACATGCTCTGGGCTCCGCCCCGGTGTCCTCAGGCACTGAACTCTCGGGGTGCAGCCTCCCGCGAGCAGGCCCTAGATAATCCCGCTAAGGTTGCCCTTCACCCTCACTGGACCCCGCCTTGCTGCTTTGGGCCTTGCGCTGAGCCCGGCCAGACCAGGATGCAGAAGGTGCATCCCTGTTGAGGTTCCCTTGACTTTAGTTAAAGAATCTACACACTATAGTGTCCAGGGTTCCCCGAGACCTCCTTTACACAGCCATAGTCTTTCCCTTATCCTGGCTGCCTCCAACAGCAGCTTCCTCTTGGCTCTCCTCGAGGTCACCACGCCTGTCTCTGACCCTCACCCACTCTGCCACCCTGAGCAAGCTTCCCAGCTAGACCCTTGGCACCATGCTTGATGAAGCCCTTCCCCGGATTCGCCGTCTCTAAATACAGGACTAGTTTAAAGTCTGGGATGCAGCGATCCTGTTGTGTTTGTGGCTTCTTATTACTGGTTTCGGGTTTATGTTCCTCCAAATTCCAGGTCAGTGTTGGCTACTCTGGTACACCCCTGCCCCTGTGTAGAACTGGGATATAAAGATCCTTGTCTCCAGTCAATAGAAACCCTGTTTTCAATTCCTTGGGTGCCAGAACCATCCCCGCCAGCTATTGCCCACCATGTTAATGACTTTCTGTGTACTTCTGAGAACACTGGACATTTCTAACAAGAAGACTGGATTCGTCTACTATTCCTTTCAGTTCTGCCAGCTTTTCACGACCTTGAGGCTCCTTAGGGCATAGAGATTTAGGAGTATGTCCTGGTAAATTGACCTTTTATCACTCCTACAAGTCCTTCTTGATCCAAGGTAGAATTCCACATTCTGGTCTACTTTACACTTCGGGGTAGCCATGTCACGACGACAGACCCAGGGTTGGCCGTCAGCACCATCCTATCGGAGCATTTACGCCATGTACATTTGTGACCACCATATATGGTGAATTGGAATTGCTAATTTTTTCTATTTGTTACATCTTTATTCCTTTTTTATTCTTGAATTCCTTTGGGTTACTTTAAAACAATCCTTACTTATGCATAGCAATACAAATCGTGTGTTAAATAATAATACAGTAGACTAATTTGATATGATTTTCAGACAGAAGAGAAAGGGGGAAATTTTTCAGGTTACAAAACCCTTTCCCAGAGAACAATCTTTTGGGTTACTTTTAAAGATTCTATTTTGTCCCCCATCATTAGCATACTTTATGCTTATCCTTGTTTAATTGTGTGTGTGTGTGCGCACGTGCGTGTGTGAGTGTGTGTGTGTGTGTGTGTGTGTGTGTGTGTGTGTGTGTGTGTGTTCATGTGCATGTGTGCATATTGGAGGCCAGAGGTCAATGTTGAGTGTCTTGTCTTTTTTTTTTTTTTTTTTGAGACATGGTCTCTTACTGAACCAGGACCTCACTAATTCTGCTAGACTGACTGGCCAGCAAGCCCTGGGGATACCCTCTATCTCCTCACAATACTTGCTTGATTTTTAAATTCCCTGCTGTGTAGCTTAGTTGATTCACTATCCAGTAACTTTTATGTTTCCTGGAAATTAATCTCTGTGTGTTACCTTAAAAAATTAAAAAATAAAAAATATTTAGTGAAGTAATCCCATGTCTAGGAGTTTAACATATGAACACACAGAGGGAGGGTACAGAGCTATTTACTATAGCATTCTGATAAAACCACACACAGGGGGAAAATTGTGAATATCAGTAGAGAAAGGTATGGCAATACCGTGCTTTATCATAGTTTGTAATATTTAAAAAAACTGTTCATTTTTTTGGAGGGATTTCCTCACAGAATGTTGGAGAAGCAACTTACAGAGCAATTCCACCTATGTTTGTAAACAGCCACAACAATGGTGATTTTATTTATAGCAGCGAGGGGCATTTCTGTGGGATCAACAGCAAATGCTGAGTGCAAACAGAGGCAGACTGAGCGAAGCATTTATTCACCACAGCAGCCTCGAGAAGAGGTCTACAGCTGACGAAAGAGGCCATAGGGGCTCAGAACTGTCTACGGTCTGGGGAATAAAGGGCAGAACTGCCTCACTAGGGAGCGGATTTTTAATATCAAGTGGGTTGTACAGGGGAAAAAGAAAGCCATAACTTTAATTTTGATTTTTAAAAGTGCAGATGCTCCTTATTTGATGATGTGGTTACATGAATGTAGCAAGCTTTCTTGTCGGACTATCTTTTGTGGGGCCGCCAGCTCCCTAATAACCACATGGATGTTTAATATTAATTATGAAACTTTGGCTTTAGCTTAGGCTTTTTTTTCCAAATAGCTCTTATAACTTAAATTAACCTGTCTCTATTAATCTACATTCTGCCATGTGGCTTGGTTACCTCTGTTCTGTACTGTATGTCCTACTTTTTCCGAGTCTGACAAAATCCTAGATTTCTCCTCCTCTTCTTCTCTCTTCCCTGAAATCCCACCTATTCTCTTCTGCCTAGCTATTGGCCATTCAGTTCTTTATTAAACCAATCAGGAGGTGCCTTAGACAGAGACACATCTTTACAGTGTACACAAATATTCCGCAGAAGTATGTCTTCAACACATGAAGGTGAACCCAGGAGTTGAAAATAATCCAGGCAACTGACCAGATGTCGTAGTCCAGGAACACATTACCCTGCAGAGTGCTGCTGGCTCCCATCTTGCTCCCAGCTGAGTGGGAGCTCTGGTTCTGCTACTGCTAGCACCATAAGAGGAGAACAACCATACATTCTGAGTCAGGAGGAGGATCAGGATCCAGCATTCTCAGCACAGTTTGATGGATGCTATTATTCTGGTGCTGTGACAAAGATGGAAAAGTGGAGTTTATTCTAAATCAGGAACCAACTGAACTTACACTGAGGGAAAAGTTCTTTTACAACTTTCAAAAGGTATTTTTACCTTATTTATGGATATGTGTATATACTTGCTAAGTTTTATGTGTAACACGTGTGCAAGTGCTCATGGAGTCCAGAAGATGGTGCTGGATCCCGTGGAACTGGATTGCAGGCAGTTGTTAGCAGCCTGATGTGGGTGCTGGGAACCCACAGCCAGGCTCCTCTGCAAGACCAGTGATCCCTCCTAACCACTGAGCCATCTCTCTAGCCCTCTCAGTTTGTCCTTTTAGGCAGGGTCTCATGATGTAGTCCTGGCTAGCCTGGAACTGAATGTGTAGCCCAGGCTGGCCTCAAACTTACAGAGATCTACTTGCCTCTGCCTCTTGAGTGCTGGGTCACAAAGGTATACACCGCTGTCTCCTGAGCTGTCTCCTCTTCCCACACCTACGTTCCCATCTACCTAAATTCAAGGAAAGGGGACCAAAGATGGACACCGGTTCTTCCCCCACCCAAACAACCAGAGTTCAAGGAACTGTAGTTTATCATCAATACTTTGGGGTTTCCAATCTGCTAGGACCAATGACCCTTACAAAGCTGAGATCTGAAGAACTGACTCATCATTTGCACTGAGTAAATGCCTCTCTTTAGATCTCAGGTCAGAGATGGGTTAATGTGGGGAGACTCCTGCTGCCTTCTCCCCTCTTCCTACAATCGTCACGGCCAACCAGTAGTCAGGTACATCACCCAGACATAAAGGAGAAGGCACTGTTTTTGAAAAGGAAAATGATTTTTAATAGAAGAAAAATTTAAAAGCTGATTCCCCCTTCACGTGATCTCCCCACTCTGTCCCTTTCTTCCCCACTATTACCTGTTTCTAGGCAGGCTCCCCCTTTGTTCTTTCTTCCCATTATAGCTCGTTTCTGAGGTGCACAAGGCTTGGCTTCCCTTCTGTCCCTTTCGTCCCCAATATCGGCCCTTTTCTGAGGTGCACTGGGAGGCTAGGCTCCCCGTATCTTCGGGATTGATGACTCTCTTTGGAGGTGGGGCTTTGGTGTTCTTTCAGAGTTGGTCCTCTTGGTATTGTCCCATATCTGATTTGTAGCCCACTGAGAAAACAGGAAAAGTGCTCTCTCCCAGACTCCTCTAGTGATTTCTTAGGCCTCTCCCTCTCTTGTCTTTTACTCCTAAAAGAGAGAGAGAGAGAGAGAGAGAGAGAGAGAGAGAGAAGAAAAAGAAAAGCAAAGGCACTTCTGTGTCTGCTCCACTCCCAAGATAGGGTCTGACATGTGGTGAGAGATTGGCAACCAAATGCTGGTCTGGAAAGCCACACACACACAGCTACTCTTGCATTTTTACATAGCAGTAGCGTAGACTTGGTTAGTAGATGTTAAAACCCTAAGAGAGTATAGGGACAGCCACAAGAAGTATGGGTAAAGTACTACTGAGTTGTCTAACCTGTGTTATCTTGGATGTGGAGACAGGCTTTCTGGAAAGAGCAGTGGTGGACAGACTGGATGAGACAGATTCTGAGAAAAGGAACTGACTAGCGAGAGAAGGTACTTTTCATTGTGGCACTTTAGAAATACCAAGGCTTGCTCCTGGCACGATTCCAGCGTTGCCCTCTTCTATTTTCAAATAAGATTAAGGGACTGAAAACTTCTGCTTGGAAAGCCCCAGAGGTGAGTGTGCTCGTTTTGGAAGCACGTTCGAAAAGTAGAAAGCCCACATAATGTGTTGCATCTACCAACATGGTTTTAAGAATTAAATCACTTTAAAGGATTTATTTTGATTTTACAAAACCACCCCTCAAATGTTTTATATGCATTAATGTATTAATATTCATCAAAATCAGTGTGAGAATCTCATCTTTCGCTTTTCCTTTTTGAGGCAGGGTTCTACTGTGTAGCTCTGGCTGGGGTGGAAGACCAGGCTGGCCTCAAACTCAAAGAG